AAACCCCCCCCCCCCCGTATATATGATACCATGTGTGGCATGACCTGGATGAGATATACAGTTACATATATAGCCCAATGGAATGCCTTGTATGCATGACGGTAGGGGAGGCAGTGCACACATCCACTCAGTCTCCCTGCCCCCCAGGGCAGCATATCAGAGGGACTTGAGGCTGCAGGCGGGGGGGGGGGGAGAGAAGGTCACACTCCATGGAGGGAAATTCTTCCATCTACAGAACTCTTCCAGTGGATTCAAACCAATACGTAGAAGCTGAAGGGGACCGGATACCATCACCAACCCACCAATTTCATTGTCTATATTCAAAATTTACTGAGGGTTCCTTAAGCATCAGAGCACATTATAAATTCAGTTTAGCCCATATCTGTTAAAAATATATTACATTATATTCTTAGAGGGAATGGTAGATGCCTACCCCATCTTGAGACTGATCAGGGCATCCTCCACGGAGCGCTGGTTGTATTTCACCATGTGGGTGTGCATGTCATGGTAGTTGCTCCGAATGTTCCGCTCTGTGCTACCATTGGGAACCGTTCCAAACCGGAATGGGGGATACTGCTCTTGGGGCCTCTGGAACTGGAAAGGAAGCCGCAACCAAAACATCTGTACTGTCATCCGCAAAAGAACCAGAGCCCTCTCTTTGGATTTACTGATTGGCTAAATGTGATCTTTGTACTGCATTACTACACAGTTTGGGTCCAGTGGCACCTTTAAGACCAACAAAGTTTTATTCAAGGCATAAGCTTTTGTGTGCATGCACACAATGAAATGGAAGCTACCAATCCATACATATAGGTAGAGGGTGGGCAGCACATTAGCATACAGCATAATGAAGGTATTTAACAGATGCAAGGACCAATGAGGAATAACAAGCTTAGGTTACCATTTGTTTGAGTTTAATTCTGGGGGGAAACACAGTGAAGGAAATAAATATGTCAAAATTGGAGATCGATAAGCAGATGTATCCTTAACTGTGGAATGGTGAGAGTGATTAACTCGAGACCCTGCCATTATGCCCCATCCATCGCCTCTCAAGCATGGAGGTGACCTTATGGCTACCCACCTGACTCTACCTCAGCATGAGGTCATGCTGAAGCTGTTCTATTTATCATTTATGTATTAAAATATTTGTACCCCACCTTCCCTCCTGGTTCAAAGTGGCTTCTAAAATGTTTATTCACTTGCATTTTATTTCAGCGTATTGTCCACATTACCATAGTGTGTCAGGAGTCAACACACAGTGAAAGTTGATGCATTCAAGCAAACAGAGAAGGCAAAGCTGTTCCATTGTCTTCAGGCTTATAAAAGCTGTTAAGAGTATGAGCATTCTGTGGATCCCAGGAAAAAACACCTTACACAAGGTAGGGACAATAAGCAATTTTTTACCTTCTGTTGGTAAATCTCAGCTGACATCCAGCTGTTACCTGAAGTCTACAAACCAAATTCTGTTCCAAGTACCCTCAGTGGAATAACTCTGAAGTTCTTCTTCCATTAGCTGAAGGGCAGGGCTTTTTTGGTAGAAAAAGCCCAGCAGGAACTCATTAGCATAATAGGCCATACCCAACAACAGAAACGTATTAGCATATCCAGCCACATCCATGAGAGCACAGCTCATTAGCATATTAGGCCACACCCCATATGTTACCAGAAGTGTGGTCATCCAACCACACCCACCTTTTGCTTCTTATTCTGTTTGCTTTGTTGTCAAAACCCAGGGCTTTTTTTGTAGCAGGAACTCCTTTGCATGTTAGGCCACACACCCCTAATGTAGCTAATCCTAATGAGTGTCTGCTGTTATGTGTGGCCTATTATGCTAATGAGTTCCTGCTGGGCTTGGCCAACTCAGGAGCCAGCCGGAACTCCGTTCCTGTACGTTCCTGCCCAAAAATAGCCCTGCTGAAGGGTATTTCTGCTTGTAAAAAGGCCTTTTCCTAATCAATTCTCACCAGTTCGCCCTTACCACAGCAGACTTGCCATGTTGCATCTCAGAGCCCCCCTCCTAGCCCCTAGTAGCTGCTATTCAAGGAGCTGCACCTGAAAAGGGGGTGCAGGAAAGATCCAATCCAAGAGCGCAGTTCTGTACTCATATTCATCATTTTTCTTACCTTGGGGCTATTCCAAGCCAGATATGCTCTCTGCATTATCACACTTAGCAAGCTCAACCCCTGCCACGAGCCCTTCTTACCTTCTTATCACTCAGTCCAGAGACTGTGTCAATATATTGCTCCTGGATCATGAACGCTGCCAGATTGGCTGTATAGCTGGCCAGGAAGATGACGGCAAAGAAAGCCCAGATGAGTACCATGATTTTACTAGTAGTGCCTTTGGGGTTTTCAATGGGCACCGAATTGTTGAAGACCAGCGCCCAGAGCAGCCAGACTGACTTGCCAATAGTGAAAGAAGGGCCTCCAGATTCTGGGGAGGGGAAAAGGAAAAGGGATTGGAGAGCCGCATGACTTCTTTGCTAGATATACCATGCTTCTTTCATCTCAGACTCTAGCAGCATATGTTTCATGAAAAAACGAGAAATACACTTTGTCGGCCGATCAAGATGGGTGGCCGTGTCAATCTGTCTGTAGCAGTAGACAAGAGCAAGAGTCCAGTAGCACCTTAAAGACTAACAAAATTTGCGGCAGGGTATGAGCTTTTATGAGTCACTGCTCACCTCTTCAGATGCAGCTAGATTCTAGCTGTATCTGAAGAAGTGAGCAGTGACTCACGGAAGCTCATACCCTGCCGCAAATTTTGTTAGTCTTTGTTGACTGTCAGCTTTAAAGTTAAGTAAGTCAAGTGCTGGAAGGAAGGAGGCATTCTTCTCTTACCTACGGTGGAAATGAGAAAAGCTAAAAATAGCAATGGAGAAACAGTTAAGAATATCATTTACCATTAGATCCATTGGTATCCACTGCTATGTCTTTTAAACACTTAAGGCAAGAGTTCCTTCTAGAGACAGAGAGAATTAGTTTCCTATATGATAATTATTGTGAGCATTCTACATGCTAGATACGAGAAATCAATCAAAATTCTAAATGTTAAGAAGTAGTTTGTCAAAGTGCGGCGCTATGCCTCCATAGCTAAAATAGCTAATTATGTTTATGTGAAGGAGGAAAGACATAATTATGCCTTCTATTAAATTCTGCAATGATGATCAATTATGTTCCAATGTAAACTATTGTTTTAATATCTTGTAAATTCAATTTGTAATTTAGTACATTATGAGCCTATGACGTGACATTGATAAGTTTTTAAACAATCAAAGAATCAAAAAAGGTCAAATGCACTGAAGTGGATCCAGGCTTCTAAGAATGAAATTGGTCTTTCCTTTCCTTCAGTGGGGCCCGAGCACACATGTACTCCCAGTCATTGCTGAGCATCTGGAAGCCACCTAGAACCGTGTGGCATGAAGGCTGCAGCTAGAAGGGGGATTTGGTGAAAGTGACCACCTCCTCTTGCACAAGCTTGCTCAGTTCCCCAAAGACTGAGGAGAAAGAGTTTTGCTAATTCCTCCTTCTTGCTGCAGCCACCCCCCCCCGCCCCACTTCATGGGGGTCCCAGACACTCAGCACTGGCTTTTCAAAGAAGCAGGAGGCAATGAGATAAAGGAGGGAAAGATCTGTTCAACAGACTTCCACCATTCACACACCTTGGATTCAGCTGACTTTTCAAATTTAGTGTGGACTTCTAAGATATTTGTTCCACAAATTATGGTTACCTGGATCAGGATTTGCTTTGGAAAAAATGTTGTTTCCATCCTTAAACAAAAACCTGCACTTAATAAATTGTACATATAATTGTTTCCGTTTGTTCCGAAAACATTAGGATACTTTATGATCAGGATTAAAGGTATTGGTTTAGTTATTACGCTCAATTTTTGTTCCCATTCGTTTGAACTGGAAGCAGATTTTTGTATGTGGCTCCCCCCTCCTTCCAATCAATTGGGATGAAATTCCCAGGGATTGTACCTGTCACTCCTCAGATCTTCCCTCTGCTAAATTTTGGAGAGGTAGGAGAAAAACATTCCTAGCTTAGAGGCAATTAAAATCATCACTTGTTGAGTAAACATGGGGAGATACGGGCTGGCATATACATTATATTTCCCTCCTTTCCTTGGGCCCACAATGAGAGGGAGAGGAGGGGACACTGTTTTTAAACAAAAATGAAGTGTGCAGGCACAGTAAGCTATCCCCTGTATTGTCTCTCTGCACTGTGCTGGTTTTAGTATTTTCTCTCCCCCTGGCTGACTTTTGATACCAAAGCCTGACTGGAAGAAAAAATGCTTCAAAGAACTAGAGAAAGGTGTGTGAAGGGGCAGGATTTCATTCCCCTTGCCAAGTCCCCAAATTTGTTTGAAGTGAGTGAAAGGAAATTAAAAGAACCTGCTGTATTATAACTGCACCAACGGCTCTATCGAATCCGGTATTCGATTACAACCTGCTCAGAATTCAGTCATTCTTCAAAGTCTATTGTTAATAAATTTCCACGCGCCCCCCCCCAATAACTGCAGGAATATCACCCCAAATGTCAGGAATGGATTTTAAGCAGACTCCAGCATGTCTATCTTCTCAGTGGTTTCATTCTCCCCAAGCTGACAACAACGTGATTCTTTTATAGTTTCTGCATTAGGATACAATAATATATTTTAAAAAGCAAAAATTTTAATAACCCAGAATTGGGGGGGGGGGGGAAACAGTTCAAGAAAACGAGGCTTCAGGGAGAGGAAGAAAGCAGCAGGGTCCCAGCAAAACACGTCCTGCCAGAGTCTTTACAGAGCTGGATGATGAAAGCTAAAAATAGGCTGTATATTTTTACTCCAGGCTCTCGATTGCTCTCTCCTAGTACTTACCGGTTTCCTCCTGACTTCCAGCATCCTTCCCCATATTTGATCCCTCCTCAGCAGCCAGCGCTCCCAAGGTCGATGGTGAGAAAACCAGAAAGTTCTCTGGAGGGGAAGAAGGCCTGGTCCAAGGTGGCAATGGGCAAGGAGGGACTCATGCTCGTCACTCCACAGCTCTTTTCATCACACACATCAGGATGTATATGTTCGAATGAGCATTTATCAAGGACAGGGATGAAGTGGCTGGCCCAGGGCAGACAGCTTCTCAAAGCGGCTGTGAGACATCTTTTCCCCAGCTCGCCAAGGCATGGAAGCCGTGAGCAGGCATAGCCACTTGCAGAGTTTATGGACAGGCCTACAAATCAGGCAGAGTGATCTGGCCAGCAGTTCACAGCTCAGACACAACTGTATTGGATCAGTCTACAGGGGAAATACATTATCACACCATGCTCTGGACCCCAGTTTAAGCTGACTGATGCTGCAGTTCCACAGGCAAAATGCCATTATTCGACTGGAAGCATTTCCTTTGTATTCTTGCATTGCAGAGATATGTCTTTCCCTTTATATATCCGCAGTGGAAGGGGGCAGATATTTACTTTTAAAAAATGAAACCAGGGAATTCACAGAAACTGTTATAAAAATAATGATATGAAGTTGCCACTTTAAAAACAAGTTCCTGGGGGGTGGGGGGGGGATGGCTGCCACGTGGACAAGAAAATCCCAACTTTGCAACCCACACAGCAACCATTCCAGCTTTACTGTGACCTTTCCCAGAACTTCACAGGAATGCAAATTTGAGAGAGGTTGGAGAAAAGCTAAGGAAACCGGAATGCACCATGATGCTGTGGGGAATCTGCAGAGAAACCTGCTTCCCAAAAGGACTGAACCTGAGGGGGACAATGTGGGTGGAAATGGTCCGAGAAACATAATTGAATGGAGGATGGTTTGTTCTACATGCCTTCTGAATTGTCCAAGTTTTAACAACTTTACGATGACTTTCAGCCAGTTCAGAAAATTACTTACTTTTGCCACTGGTTAAATTCTGGTTGTAGCCAACAGGGCTAAAATATTCAAACATGAAGACTGTGATGGCAACCACAGTGAGACACATCACAAACATCATCACCCACACGGCTGGGCTGTAGGGTTCTAGAAGACATGAGGAAACCAGTCAATCCAGTGCACATCAAGCTAGCAATCACCTGTTTGTGTTCTCTGGTTGTAATTTACAAGTCTTACCCATCGGCAGAGGTCATTTCGGGGGGGATCGCGGGGGATCGCAGTTCCCCCGGGTGAGGTACAGGGGCACATGACGAAGCCCCGCCCCCTGCTTCCGGCTGCCCCGCTTCCGGCCCTCATTCAGCCAGGAGGAGGCAGGAGAAGAGGGAGGGTAAGTTGCTTCCTCCTTGCCTCTCCCCACCCCTGCCTGCCTGGGGCCATGGAGGGCCTTCGCAGGGCTTCCTTGCACTCCCACCGGCCTTGCAGGTCCACCGCCGGGCCCCTCATGGGGCTTCGGCAGTGGAGCTGCAAGGCCAGTGGTGGTGGCCGGGACCGTGGGGGCGGGGTGTGTGGCCTTATGACACACTTCTGGTGATGTCAGGGGGTGTGGCCTTATGACACACTTCCGGTGATGTCAGGGGGTGTGGCATATGCTAATGAGTTATGATAATGAGTTCCCCTAGCTCTTTTTCTATGAAATGACCCCTGCCCATCGGTATTTAAATGGCAGCATCCCCAGCATTACCCCTGAGTGAAATGAGGTTCATCTATCACCTTCTAGAAATAGCAGCAATGGGTACCATAAAAAGGCAGGGAAATCCACCTCCCACCAGACCCCTTCAGTTTGAGCAGAGCTAGTAACAAAGATACAAAATGGTTGCTGCCCTGCAGCTGAATCGCATCTCAGCACCACCTTTTAGCAGTATACTGGATTTACATATATCTAAGAGAGACAGGGTGTTAAAAAAGCACCCAATACTGAGTGCTTAAAAAGCAAAATCCACTCCTACTGCGTTTATGAAATCTTCCTGGCATTCTACCATTGGAAGACTCACACGGCCCACTGTTCTGGTTTCGACTGAGAGCTGAGCTGAAGGAAATCAAGATGATGTTGAGCTGTTTACTTCCCACTTGCCTGACCTTCCAAAATTACATAAGATTTATCTGTTTTATCTATCTCTAATACGGTCCAAGAGTTCTTGCACGCAAGCGGGAGCACAGAGGAATAGGATAACTGTGAGTGCACGCAAGGATTTAGGTTTACATTTTCAACATCCAGCTCTAGCATTCCTATACTGGACCACAGAACCAATTCCAGGCATACTGGGTGTGTGCATGCCAGCATTTGCTGCAACGAGCTCTACAAAGAACGTCAAGAAAATGTGCAACCATAAACATAGTTGGCAAGCACTAGGGTCAAACCAACCCTAAACC